ATCCATCCATCCATCTATCTATCTATCTATCTATCTATCTATCTATCTATCTATCTATCTATCTATCTATCTATCTATCTATCTATCTATCTATCTATCTATCTGAGATACCAAGAAGGCACACCCTAACTGAAATAGCTAAGTGAGGATGGGATGAAGTGATCAGGAGATTTTGATTCCTAAGTTCATTTTTATCACAAGAAGATCACAGTCTTTAGTAGCCTGGAGTGCCTTTGGTCAGCTCCCATTGGCCTACCAGCTGGACAAAGACAAGGGACAGCTTGGTGACAAGAGTTCAAGCACTGGTCATTTCCAATTTAAATTACTGGAATTCACAAAGTGTTGGACTATCCTTGAGTTGGATCTACAGATAGGGTCAGAAAGTAACAGCTATACTTCAGGCAATAATATAATTTAGGAGTCATATTTAACTGTATTTAAAGGAGCTGCATTGGTTGTCAATACTATTTCCAAAGTATTAGTGAATGATGATGTCCTAAATGGTTTTGGATCTCAATATTTGGAGGAGCACCCCTTTTGAGGGTGCTCTTTCATTGAGAAGAATATATCTCATGGAGAAGTGAGACAGACCTTGTCACTTATGGCAGCCTAATTATGGAAGCTGGGCTGTTGCTAGGAGTTTCATTTTGGTGCCAAGTGAATACCTGGCTATCCATTCTAAGCATTGGTTCTTAGCGACAATACACAGGTTTGTACATTGTTTCCCTCTGGATTACCGGCCAGCCTGCAGCCATACTGTTTGGGAATTCATAGAATTGCAGTTCCAACACATTTTAAGAGCACCGGATTGGAGAATGCTGACCTAGACGGTATTTCCCCCCTGCCCCTTGGTTCCATTCTATATTTTCCCCAAACTTCCTACCCTGCTTAGTACCAGTTCCTATCACTTTGCTCATATATACAATGAACCTACTAATGTAGTTGTCATGCATAATCACTGGTTCTTCCCTCTTTGCATTAGCCCACATGTCCATCTCCCCTCAGGGGCATGCGTTGTCAATGCATCCATTGTTACTCATGAGGACTTAGGTTTCACTCTATTCCCTTGCAATCTATTTGGTGCCAGATCTTAAGTGTTTATACAAGTGCCTTTTTGTGATTTTTATCTTCTTTAGTATACTTTAATCTCTCCTTGTTATCACAAAGTCATGTTACCCCTTCCTGGAGGCATCTCAGATGCCCTCAAAATGGAGACACACAATCTTCCTTAAGGTTTCCTCTTTCCACGAAACCATGTTGTCCTTATTTTTTCTTAAGCCATCCTTGCCTGTAATCCTCAACTCTTTTCCCTGTTCAGCATCATATCAGAAGCACCTCCCACATCCAATTCATGCTTTCTGATGCAAAAAGAATTTTCCACACCTGAACTGGGAAAAAGCTACTTAGCGCATTGATAGAAAGGGACAGGACAAGATTAGTCTTCAATAGGTATTGTCTGTTTCTAGATTATTTGGTTAATTTCTGAATAAGCCTGCTGTATCCTGTCCATACCTAGCCACAATGGGATAGAATGTTTTACTTCTCTCATTTACCAATCCCTATTCTCCCCCTTCTTTATTTAATTTCCAAATGCATTACATAAACTGAAATTCTGTAACTTACAAATATAGTCAAATGCCTATAGCTTGAAGAATTCCATCATAAAATAGCTGATTCCATTCCTTATATATTGGCTGTAAACTTATCTCACTTTTTAGAAATTCTTGACTTCCCAAAATGGCTGAGGCAGGTCCTGCCCTATGCTTTTAATCTAATTTTAAAAGGGGGGCAGACTAAAAAACTAAAATAATTATTTTAGGAAAGCTGTTTCCATATAAAATAGCAACTCCTGTACCTTTACCAGAAGACCCTCCAAACCCTGTTCTTTTACTCTAGGGAAAGATGAGAGAAACTTCCACATGATCAACCTTTCCCTCACTCAACCATTCCAAAGACAATTCATCCAGGCTGTTCTGAATATTTTCATAACTATCCAGATGTCAGCATACTTTAAAAGTGGGCATGTTTAAAAATCTGCAAATTTATAGAGTACAGAGAAAGCCTCCAAAAAATTAGTTTGGTATTTCTGGCCAATAACTAAGTAGAGAAAACTTACCAGCCAATCAACGCTCCATTGCTGACCTCTAACCACCACTCCAGTCCATACCT